GTGGAACATATGCCAGCAGCAGCCTTAGCTTGGTAAACACTTACTAGGGATGTACTTGGAAACTGCCATGCTCTGAGCCCCAAACCCCTCATTTTAGGGGGCTGTTTAGGACCAAAATGTTAGACTGCAGGTCCTGGTCTGTAGCTGTACATGAGCCCAAAGGCAGGAAGACTCAATCAATTTACTGGATCAAGAGTCTTTTGAGCAAATAATGTCATAGTCAAAATGCAATGAAAGCTCAAACACCACCATGCAGGGAAGCAACAGCTGACGTAGATTGGGGAATACACACATGAAGTGGCAAAAAAAGCTAGTTAGATCAAGGCATCATTTGAAGACAATCTGAAGTGAAAGCTTGCAGCTGGCCTTATTTTTTCCACTTTCCAAGCATCCTGGTCACAGGCTCCAAAAAATGTTTCCAAGGGAATTACTGGAAAGACCAACTGAAGCAGACACATGCTGCTAATGAATGCATCAGGCCCTTGCTAGCATCTGGCCCTGTATGAATCATAACTTGCTTCATCACAGGAACACATCCTACTAGAGGTCAACAATAAGGCAAAAATGGAGGGCTGTGTATCAGGTACAAATAAGCAGTGTGCAACTAAATTGCACACAACTGAGATGAAGCACCTTGATCCATCACATACTTACCAGGCCTTTCTCTACATCTTTATCAGTTGAAGCAGCTGGAAAACAAAACAAGCCTCTAAGAAACTTTTAGGAATTGCAACAACTTAAACATAACTGAATTCACACAAGATTTATAGGCAATATAAACTCTTGTAACACAAACCAAAGCCTACACAAGCCACAGTTTCCTTGACCTGTCATACATTTCAAGACAGTACTACCCTTAGCTTCCACCAACAGCACAAACACTGTGCCTTCACACAGGGCAGAGTCCTGCTTAGTAAAAAGCAGACCAGGAGATGCAGTTTGGCTTTAAAGTCATTCCTGCAAGCTCCCCCCAACTCCACTTCATGCTTCTCAGCATTTTTGTGGAACATAGCAATAGAGAAGAAAGGCAGAAATTACTGACTGTATTGCAGTAAAGACAAGACATGATTTGAACTAAGTCAGCATTCAAAACTCAGAACAATTTTCAATGTTGTTCTAACTACACTAGTTATGAAAACACCTTAATATACAGTAGTGGAAAGAATTTTAAGGAAAACACCTCAATTTCCAATAAAAAATAAATTCATGTAGGACTTAGATTTAAGCTCACATTAAGAGGTTCAAATGATGAAAGGGCAACAATTTGTAGGAAGATGCAGTCAAATGCAGTGAATCAAAGTAGTTAATCTAATTAGTTGCAGCTTTTTGCCCCATTTATCTGAGCTCACACAGGTTTTTCCCTTTGCCAATACAAGGCAAGTAGATACTAGCTGTCCTTTTTAAGGACCTTATGCTAATCTTGATTTGAAATGAAGGCACCTGTCAGCAAAACAAGAAAGCTCATAGTTAAAGTTCATGCATTTTATTTACTGAACAAAACTACTCATGTTACTGCAGTTACTTAATTCAATCACATGCTAAATGAACTAGAGCTTATATAGGTCTCCTATACAGTAACACAAAAACCAGGGATAGCCCTAGTGCATGTTTTGCCTAGTTCTGAAAAGCAAATTTTGTGAATAACCAAGCAGTTACCTTTTTTAGAGTTCCATTTTTTACATACAAAAACCAGCAAAACACAAACAATGGGCACAATAATCATGCTAACCCAAGCAGAAGCTGTGATTCCTGTGAAAGAAAAAGAAAATTAGTACTGAAGCAGTCCACAAACAAAATATTGCTTTCTGTTCTAGAACACAACCCAAGCCCAGCACTAATATACCAATGCAGCTAGCTTGTCCTGGAAAAGGCACTGGGACTTCTCAGCTGATTTGAACATGCAAGTACTTGTTTGCACTGCACATCTATCCCAAAGGCAGCAGGGGATTCTGCAGAGACCTGCAATACAATTTCTACAAGGCTTTCTAGAGAGACACTTAAAAGGGGGAACAAGTATACAAAATATGACAGCAAGCTTCAGGTGCTGTAGAATGGATAGTGTTAGATCCCTCTTCCTCTGGTCTGGAAGAAGCTATCTACCAGCAGAAGAGAAAGCTACTCCATACACAGCTTCTTAAGTATAGGATACATCTGCACTATCCATAACTTTCAGCAGTGTCACAGTTGCAACTCTGAAAACCCTGGCAACACCTGTAGCTTTTCACCCAGTGAAATTCTAGATGGTTTGTCACCCCTTGAAAACTTGTCTTGAGGAAGTAATTCCCAGACTAAAACACAGAAGCTTTTAAATATACTACAGTTGTTCAAACCACTGTTTTACAGACTGCTCTGAAATCCCAAAAAATAAACTAAGAGGGATTTGTGTACCAGACCTTGATCAGGTAAGTCACATCCTAGGCCTGTAGTGGCATTGCAATTCGGTACGATTTCTTTCCCTTCTGGATACCTGAAGTGGATAGCAACACAGGGTCGTATCAACATTCCCAGAGCAATATGCAGCTCTGTCCAGGCCTGATTTTTTTTTCAGGCAGAGCTTAGAGACATGATCAGAACATGCATAAATAGATAACTTTGTTAGAAGTGCACCTTTAAACAACCCAAGTTAATACTGCAAGATTTGATAGAAGCAAAGCAAATGAATCTGCTATGTGGAAAGGGCAAAATCCCAGAGTAGATGCATTATTCATGTACAGTTAGTTTCCTTCAACGGGTAGTTCTACCTCTGGAAATTTTGGGCTGGGTGCTAGAAAGCTCATTCAAGTGTGCACCTGGGGAAATACTAAGCTGAAGACATGAAAAGTGCAAGTTTACAGCCATAAGCAGCAAGCACTACTATACCCAAATCCATGTCTTTCTAGGCTGCAATCTCACATATTTTGACACCTAAAATTTAAATACATGAATAATGCCATTTGGCTTCAGGGCAATTATTTACAGCTTGGTAACATGTGTTTGCTATTGGCACAGATTAAGCCACAGCTCTAACATTCCCCAGAAGGAAAACAGTGACTTATATTAATTATCCAACTTACATTTTACTGTCTCTCTGACATATTTCGCAGCCCTCGTCTGGGCAGAAATACCCTTGTTTGCACTGGCATTCAGTATTACTCGTCAGAGTACAGGGCCTCAAAGTTATCTGATCTAAAAATAAAATGTAAGTCACAAAGTAAACAGAAAAGATGTGACTCTTTACAACTGCACAAAAGTTATACTCAGGCCATAAATGCAACTTATTTACAAGCTCAATATGCTCAATGAGGATCAGGTTTTCCACATTGAACAATGGAAAAGAGTTAAGGTTTCATCAAAATTGTGCTTGTTACCATCTTTGCACTGTCTGCATGGCAAGCACCCTTCCAAGCCATTCTCATGGGCAGTAAAACTCTCTCCTTCCTTGCAAAGGTCACATTTTCCTCTCGTATGTTGAGCACGGCAGTGCTGAGTAACAGAAGTACCTGTGGAAGAGGAGAACCAGCAGCAGCAGCAGTCTCAAGGGATCTTTTCACAGGCAAAGGGCTATAGCAGGATGTTACAATATAAAGCAATTTTTGGGGAAAGTTCAGGCCCTTCTCACAAAGAAGCCATACGGCATAGGAGAGTCAGGAGGCACATCCTGTCTGAGTGATAAATTGTGAGAGTGGTGCCAAACAAGGCATCCAGCCAGGCCTCTGTCAGGACACACAGGGGGACAAAAGAATGACTCACTCGAGCAGCTTCAAGTCAAATATGTGGCAAGCACTGCTTGTAATAACCTCTCTTCTCCTTTGTCTGAGCTACCTCTCAAGGCACCTGACAGCCCTCTGATTCTAAGGGGAGGGTGCTTCTTGGCACAAACCTTGTTAAGTCTGTACACATTGAGCAAGGAAGGGAGAGCAAAACCAAACCAAAGTTTTACCTACAGACAGAGAAATTGCAGAATTCCCCTAGGTGTGTTCCTTGTGCCAACTAAAGTGCTTTGTTAACAAAACCAACCCAAACACCACTCAACTTTAAACACTATCCTCAACTGTGAGCAGGGTTCCTGGCTTGCTGCCAAGGCACCTCTCCCAGTCAGTCAGCACCTACTGCAGCACAAGCTCTGGCAGCAAAATGGAGCTCAGCCTTAACAGCACCAAGAAGCCACCACAGCTCCAATCAGGCTCACACTTTCACCGGATGCAACATAAGAAACAATAGTGACTCAGGCGCCTCCACTGGGAAAGAAACATAACTTATCAGCTGTAACTGCTCAAAGTCTTACCTGCTGGACAGGATACACAGCAGCGACCCTCGTGGAAGTACTCCCACTTCTCGCAGGTCTCTGCTTGGGTTCCAGGCATTGTCAGCAGCACAACCTACAGCAGAGACAAATAGGCAGTTGAGTGATTCATTCTCCCAGGATGCGATAACCATCTCGGGGAGATGATCCTGTAAAGACTTGGAAACACATTCAGAAGTTTATGGGAAGCCACAGAGGAAACCCCAACTAATTTCTGCTAAGTACTGCTCACAGAGGTAATTGCAATCACAAAGTTGGGGTTAGAGCAGCACCATGCAGTGGCTGATGGGCTTTAGGCAGCGATTGCCACAGATCTCTGCCTCCACACAAACTTCTCTTTTCTTCCCACTAGTTCACTGCAGTTGAACCTCAGAGGGTCACGTTTCTGCCGTGTGGAAGGGACGCATTTCTCCCTCCTCCAGTCTTTTTAATTCATGAGGATCAGTGTTAGTCTTCCTACCACAAAAAGGAGGAAACGCCCTAGAGACGTCATCCAACATTTCTCACCAACTCAGTAATTCCCAGCAGAAGGCAAGTAGTGGAGTCATTAACAAAAATAACTTACTGTAGCCACACGAGTATTTTTTTTTTTTTAAGAGGAAGCAACCTGGGGCCGCTTACCCCCGGGTAAGCAGAGCACCTGGCAGTGCAGCCCAGCGCCGGGAAGACAAACGCTTGGCAGGGAGAGGAGCGCGGAGCTCAGTTTCGAGCCACAGAACCACATCCCTCACTTAAAACACGTGCACGAGGCAAAGCGCTGGAACAGGCAGGAGGAGGGGAAGGCACAGCCGCGGAGCTCCCGCCGCTAATTGCCATCAGCGCCTGATTTCTGAACTGAGCCCAGAGCTCGTCTCCCGCACTTCACCGCTCTCGACTTTCGCCAATAATCGCGTATTTGAGAAAGTTCTGTTTCACAGTTAGGTGACGTGAGGGCTATTAAAGAGCTCATTCCTACGTTTTCTCTTGATTTTCCGAGAAGAGAAGGAAAGGGAGCAGCGATTGTGCTACGGAGAGACTGGGGAGGCACCACCTGTCCCTATTCCCCTCGGGGCTCTCCGCAGCTCAGGGCTGGGTTTATGTTCACTTCCTTATCCTCACTCCAGGTTTAGGAGAGCTGCATTAACTCGGGATTCACGAAACTTCAAGCAACGCGAACAAATGCTTAAGAAAAGTTACTCCAGGAAGAGCAGGCTAGGAAAACCCGCGAGGCTCCTCCACGCTGAACTTAAAGGAAAAGGTTTTTTTCCCCCATCAGAAGGAGGGATGCGGGGTCTGGCTGCGGACAGGCGCCA